AAAAATATATATAATAAGATAAAAGAAATAATTATAACATTATTAAATGTATATTTGACTTAAATTTGAATGAGCTAATAATTAATAAAAATTTTATAAATATAAATAAAAAAAATTAAATATTTAAATTTACTTCTATATTTATTATAATTTTTTAAAATTTTATTTAAATTTATTTAATTATAGTAATAAATAAATGGAAATAAATCTTGCAAATGGCTGTAATTCTAGTCATGGGCCGGGCTAGCCTCCCATCGTAATTGCACGGCCCACCTGTGTTTCGGCAGTTCGATAAATAGATGGTTTTAGGGTTTCTAGCTCCGAAGCTTTCCCGTCCTCAAGAGTCTCTTCTTTCCGGTTTTTCTCATTTACAGGCGGCGCGAGCTTTTTCTGATCGGAGGGAGGAAAAACAATGGCAGATTCCAAAGCAGTTACCATCAGGACCCGAAAGTTCATGACTAATCGCCTTCTCTCGCGCAAGCAGTTCGTGAGTTAATCCTAGAACCCCAGTTGTCTATTTTCTGAGAGCGAGCCTTTGATTTTAAATCTTTTTTGAGTTAATTTGTATTGTGGTTTAAGGTGATCGATGTTCTTCATCCGGGAAGGCCGAATGTGTCCAAGGTACGCTGAGATCTAACTATAAATTTGACTTTTTCGATCGTTTCGGTTTCGTTCTTTGTTAAAGTTTTGATCTTGTTGTTGCTTACCTTTCTAAAGGCTGAGTTAAAAGAGAAGTTAGCGAAGCTGTACGATGTTAAGGATCAGAACTCGATTTTTGTGTTCAAATTCAGGACGCATTTTGGCGGTGGGAAGTCTACCGGGTTTGGTCTGATATATGATTCTGTGGAGAGTGCTAAGAAGTTTGAGCCCAAATACAGACTCATCAGGGTATATGATTCTGCTTTGCTTTTCGCCATTTTATTTTATTTTTATCTAACATTGATGGTAGAGTTTCAAGTCCTTGGCTAGTGAATTAACTACTATTTTTGAATTATGGCTGGATTTCTGAATGTTTGTTTATCTTGATAATTTAACACGCTTATTAACTAAAATATTCTTGTTTATTTATGTTTGAAGTTGTGCTTGATTATTGTTTGATAAGCAGAATGACTCTTCCCTGCCCAATTCTATGTCTATCTAGGTTTGGTGAGCAACTAGATGTTTGTGCTTCATATTCATTCCGTGTTCAAATAATAGAAGCAATCTGTTTGCCATGCAGTGTTTGGTTGTTCGAATCAATTCATTAAACTCTGTGTGAACGATATGCATTACACATACTTTTTTGTTAAACCATTTTGGTAACTACCTAGATGTATTTATGCTTCATAGTGTTTACATGTTTAAACAGTAGAAGCAGTCTCTTTGCTATGCAATGTTAGGTTGTTTGAATCAATTCCTTAAACGTGGTGTGAGCGACATGCATTAGGCATATCTTTTTTGTCATTCCATTTTGAATTGAGCATGTTAGTGCATGTATTATTTGAAAAACATTTTCCTTAAAGCCTAATTTATTTGATTATATGTACGTTCTATTGCTATCTATATGTTTAGTATATTGTGTATGTGAAGCTTTATGCACATGTGTGAATAAATAATATTTTTTCAGCTTATAAGCTCCAAGGCTCTAAAATCTAAAACCATGAAAAGTGTTGTTAAGATGCTCATACTTTTGAGTTAAAAGGCTCTTGCAGGAAAAAAATAACGCAATTCTATTTGTGAGTTTTTTAGATTCATTCATAATGTGACATTTGCAATTAATAACTTGTAAAATACTAAATGCATAAATGTTAATCATACAAATTGTGTGATGCATAAGGATTAAATACCAAATTCATAAAATAATATTACGTAAAAGTGTAAAACAGACCTTTAAATTTATTGCATATCTTCATTTAAATTTCTTCTTGTTGATAAGACTAGAGAGGGAGTTGAAGGTAAACTTGAATTATGGGGGTCAACCTTAGAGTCTAAAGGTTTTCGCTTGAGTAAATCTAAAACGGAATATATGGAGTGTAATTTTAGTATTAATAGACCTAGTGAGGGGATTGTGACTTTGGGTGATCAAGTCATTAATAAGAGTACACGTTTTAGATATCTTGGATCTATTGTTCAGAGTGACGGTGAAATAGATGGGGATATTATCAACATAATTCAAGTTGGATGGTTGAAGTGGAGGAATGCATCAGGTTTGTTGTGTGATAGAAAAGTGCCCCTCAAACTTAAGGGAAAATTCTATAAGATGGTAGTGAGGCCTGCAATGCTTTATGGTGCCAAATGTTGGCCATTAAAAGAGAAGCATAATACTAAGTTAAGTGTGGCAGAGATGAGGATGCTCAGGTGGATGAGTGGCTTTACCCTTAGAGATAAGATACGAAATGAGCAGATACGTGAAAAGGTTGGAGTAGCTCCAGTAGAAGATAAGATTAGAGAGAGTCGCCTTAGATGGTTTGGTCACATAAAACGGCGGCCTTGCGATGACCCGGTTAGGAGAGTAGAGGTATTAGATTTGACTTATGTTAAGAAAGGTAGAGGCAGACCTAAAAAGACTTGGTTAGAAAATATTAGGAATGACCTTTCTTTATTAGATTTAAACGAGAATTTGACTTTTAATAGGACACAATGGAGAAAAAGGATTCATGTAGCCGACCCCACGTAGTGGGATAAAGGCTTGATGTTGTTGTTGTTGTATAGCCACTTTCGTAGGCCCACTTAAAAATCAAATTTCCTTAGCACAGTAGCCCACTTAAACTGGAGTAATTATTACGTCCGTTCACCGAATGTGTTCATAAATCAATAACCACTCGCCATGTCATGTGAAATTCGATATTGAGAACTTGGTGTTGCCCGATTTTCATTTTGATAGGACTTAATAATTGCTCCTCAAACTGATATTCCGTTTAGGTTTACTAAATATTTCGCTGCCATTCTCAATGCTCAGGACGCTCCGGCATCTTTTTTCTTCGTGCCAACGCCCTCGTCGCCAATTTCTAGAGATATGGAATCCTCTGGGACACTTATGTACAGCATCGGCCATGGAGAAACGAGGATCGCTGGAGCTGGAAGAGGTGCAAAAGGTCCTCTGCGACGTCAAGGCAGACGATGTGAGGGTGATACACGTGGGCGACCAATGCGACTGGACTGATCACATAGTCATCGCCACCGGTAGATCCACCTGGCACGTCAAGAACATCGCTCAAGCTCTTCTCCACAAGGTAGGTTTGTCTCCCCCATTTCTTCAATTGTTCAACCTTGGAGGTTGCAACATAGCAGTTATTGCAGTATAACGAAGACGAATGGTTTGTATGTTGATTTATGTCGTTTCTATATGCTCAGACCGTTTCCTTTTATTCCATTGGTAGTTGCACTAATCTAAGTTGGCTAACATGTATAAAAATCATGGACGAATAATTGCGGATGGGAGGATAAGAGTTAAGCTAGAGGGGGATATTGAAAGTGAACAATGGAGAATGCAGGTGCTATAGAAGTGTTTTATGATGTGAGTATGTTTTTGGGTCATTAGGTTTCAGCCTGTAATGGTTAGGAAACTGCCATGTTTTCCTTTAATAATTTTACTTACAGCTATAGGTTTCCCACCTATCCCATTTGGCTGAAAACGTACTGCCCAAATGCGGTTAGTTTGGAGCACGAGGCATCATGCACAGGCTGTCACCCTGGATGAAGTTGTAGCCCCTCCAATCATAATCATTAGCTTTGCCCCAATTATTTCTGGTCAATTTGATAAATTCTTCTCCTCCTTTTATTTATAGTGGGCAAGTAATTTGTTAAACACAGCTAACTCAAGTTGTTTTTACTATGTATAACCAATATATCCTTGTTCTTCACTAGTCCATATGCATTTATCTAATTCTATATCTTCTTCTTATATGCATATATTCCATCCTCTAATATGTATGCTCAAACAACTCCCAAGATTTTTTGTGCAAATTTATTACGGGTGCTATACCACAATATCTCTAAATCAATGATTTCCGCTTTATGGGCTGTTATTTCCTTTGTTCCAAATCTACCCAAAGTTGTGATTAATCTCCTCTTTCTAAGAGAGTTATCATCTTAACCTCATTATCACAATCGTCTTTATCGAAAATACTCAAGCTATTAGGGTTGGATTTTTAATCCATGATAGATGTTAGTTTATTGTTATATGATTATTTATAGCTCAAATATACTTGTAATTGTGTGTTTGATGTGCCTTCCAAGAGCATCTATGATAGGAATCACCTCCAACCAACTAGCTTTATTAATCAAAAGGGTAGGAATACGAACTCGATCAGTCTAGGAAAGGTAGAGATGTATTGAAATGTTGGAATGAAAAGCAAGAGACCAGTTTATTATGATCAACCATCAAAAGCCAATCAAGTGTGTGGATCTCTTTTGAAGATCTTTCTTTGTTATGAACATTGTTTTGTAGATTCTTTCAAATATAGGAATTATGTGTCTTCTTAACCTTTTCTAAATAATTTGTCCCTTATTTTCCTTGATTTTTAATTAGACTTCTGGCACATATCTAGTAATGTGAAAGCCCTTCTAAGTCATTGTTATTTGTTTGAAGACCATTTTCCCTTTGTCATTTCAATGAAACTTGATCTTTTAATTGGATTATGCCTCAATTTCTTATCCTATTTGTGTTAGTTATACATTGTACAAGCAATAAAAAAGATTTGAAATTGAGAATATTTTGAAATTTAGTGATATGCATTACTTCTATGGTTATAAATGCATTTAATTGAAAATCTTAGGATATCTTGTGCATATAAACCATAAATTCACATACATATTACAATTTTAAAGTTAAATTTTGTCATAGAATAAGTTATGGTCCCACTATCATGTATAAAAGATGCCATGGATAAGATATTGCTTGTTAACATATATATATATATA